TTCCATATCTACAGTCTTACGAGAAGGAAGCATAGAGCATTCACGACTGCTAACATCAGTGCTGGAATTTATGTTCGCTTTCCTCAGCTGAGCTCAGGTGTTTCCTTACTTACTGTGGAAGTTTATATACAAATTCGGGTAGAGGTGCACACAAACCAACAAGAGTTTCCCGAGAATTCTCATATTGTCCCCACCAGCAACATATCGTTGACCATATGCGTATCTTCCCACACCGTAAAATTCTCATTCACTTCCAAATCCAAACCGTGCTCTACCACTCCTCGTCCAATTCAACTTGAATATAGAACTCCTTCGATTCAGCAACCCTCATCACCTCGTGAATATCTCTTGCTTAGCGTCCTCTGCTGGTGGCCAAGTGACTTCCGCGCAAAGTCCCGTCTCGGACGAGGAAGGGTCGATATCTTCGATGTTTTTGCGGTCAGTGAGTGTACAATCATATGCCGGGTCTGAGGAACGAACCCACGACCTCGTCCAATCAATCCCAGCGCAGCGCGACATCTCGAGTCCCGTGACGGGACTCGCAAGACTTTCTGATTGGATCGCAACCATCACAGTGGGTATACTTTCTCAGCTTCGCATTTCTTCGCGCACACGTGTGGTCGGAATGAGCCATATTTCGCCACACATTTTGTTACAAAATTGCTCGTAAAGCGTGATTGCTAGTATACAAGTTGTCATGTTCTGGCAACTTGGGGGAGTGTGCTGATATGGGAACATATTACGTTAACTGTTCTCAGTTGAGACTGTTACGGTGTGCAGTACATCACATCTGTGTTTTCGTTGTCCCCATTTGTATCAGCTAAGATATTAGCTAAGCTATACCATCTCATTCGTTACTGTGTTTTGGCATTCCCAACAAGGCCGTACTGAGTTGCATAACATCGGAACATTGTATGTCTCCCTGCTGCATGGGCATCTTCGTGATATATTCATTAGGGTTACTGAGCCGGAAATAGCAGGAACAATCAAGCACATTATGGGATCACGGAATGGCGCATTAAGGGGACTTCAGCACAAAGTTGTGATTCTACGCTCTAACCGAATCGGATGCAGTATTAGATGCACTGATCAGTAATGTGAACAACATTAGAGATTGGGGATCCTTGGAGGGTCCTCCGTTGGCTCCACTTATCTTTACCTGGCGTAAGCCTAGCATGATGACACCCTAGAATCAATGGGCGTGCATGCACCCCGTCAGCAACGTGCTACGTGCCACATGCTCACTGGCTAAGCGCACAAAGTAAAAATAAACCTGACCATTGATATTTGAACATTCATTGGCTATATAATCCAACAAGTCAGGGTCTGATCGACCTATGTGGTATTGTCTTCCAGTTATAGCCTGCCATTCAAGTTTCTTTGTGCTTATAGTAGCGGTACCAATATCTCGGTTTCGACTTGTGCGTGAGTCATCAAATTAACGTTGAATGATTCAACGTGAACTCCGCGACAGGGAAAGTTTCAAGGTAGTTAGTATATGAAATTCTGTATTTCCAAGTTTCCTTATTCCATAATTGCAATGAATGAACAACCATGAGTGCCATCAGCTTATATGTTCGATGTGAGGTGTATATGTAATGTATTGAATCAATATGGGTTTATTCACTGTATTATCCAGGCTTTCTTGTGTGACTAATGCTCACTCCTATCCTACTATCTTCTATTCTAGGTGTTTTCAGTGAACAAACGCCTCTTGAAGTACAGAACTTATTCGAAGCGTACAAGGATGAGTAATGCGCAATGTTCCTGGTAGCTATTGGGCGCAGCTTTGTTGCAGATACGATCACGACTTTGGCGAAGAGGATGCCAATAGACTTGCCATCTTTCACGACAACCTCAAGTTCATAGATGAAGTAAATTCGAGGAGTAAGATGTAATTATCTGCAGTACTGCCTGGTCATGGTTGTGGTTCTCAGACCTTTCCTACAAGCTGGGTATCACTCCTTTCACTCATCTTACAAACGATGAATTCAGAGAGTTCGTCACAAGAGGATACTCCCTTGGTGACTGGCAGCAAACGATGTTGCGAGGAATCGGTAGGCGCTCGAAAGAAAACGAAATACCTGACGCAGCCACGTGTCAGACTCCGAGGCCCAAACATTCGGATTTGAGGGCTCGGTCGATGATGACCTGCCGATGAGGGTCGACTATGTCGAAAAAGGTTGGGTTACTGATGTGAAGTTCCAAGGGACTGTATGCGGCAGCTGCTGGGCTTTTGGCGTTGCTGGTGAGATCCTCATCGTTGCTACTCAAGTAAAGGTGCCTTACCAGGTGCATTGGAAGGCCTCCACAAGAATGTTACTGGTCAGCTTGTCTCTCTCTCGGAGCAGGAACTTATCGACTGCAGTAGAGCCTACGGCAATAAGTATTGCATTTCATAGTTGGCATGGACCCACCGATTCTTGTCAGTGGATGCAATGGTACACGTCATTTGAACGATTCCTACGAGTATGTTGCGGATCATGGTTTGGAAACTGAAAGAGCTTATAAGTATGTAGGAAAAGATGGTCAGTGTCGCCGCGATGTTTGTGAATACGCCATCAAGGTGAGTATAGGTCCGTAGGTAACAACAAATCACCAACTATTTCCAGGCTGGAACCATAAGTCATGTAAATGTGAAAAGCAATTCCTCATCTTCGATGCTCGCAGCCGTTGCCTTTGGTGGGCCTGTCAGTGCAGTCTCCTGTGCGTGGGCTGGGGTCTTCCAAAACTACAAAAGTGGAATCATCAAAGGAGGTATGACCAGTCATGAAGTAGCTGCTGTAACGCAACAGCAATCCTTTTTCAGGTGAATGTGGTAACTTGCCATCTCATGTTGTCCTTGTAGTTGGTTATGACAGAGGCCATGATCCGTGAAACCAGGGCGTAACGCTGGCCGCACGGCTCGACTGTTGTTCACCTTAGATATTATCGTATAAAGAATAGTTGGGGTGTCCAATGGGGGGAGCATGGCTATGCAAGACTTGCTATTGACGATACGGATTATGGTGGGTTCAACTCTCTTTCAATGTTTTCTTTCAATCTGTGGTGACATATATGTAACCTCAGGTGTATGTGGTATACTTTACGAGCCCGTTTATCCTATCAGTAAATAATAACCGCCCATTGAGTGATGTACTTCGCCATATAATATGGCCCATATTCTTTGTAACTCTGCTTTCCTGATGTGAAAGAATACTCCTCCCAAATCTCGCATATATGACCGTCCTTTCCGTCCTTTTTGTCCTTTGCAGACATGTTGAGATCCCAATCTTACTCAACAGCGGCCTGCTTTTGTTTAAAGAGTTGTCGAAGTCTTCGAAGATGCGTAACGCAACGCGCCAAAACTTTTGGCGCGGTGCAGGAACTTTTGGCGCCACATAATAAAAAAAAGGTTACTCACACGCAAGCACAGCGATGTCAGAGACATTTGCACGTAGGCGCATCGGAATCGGAGACTCATATATCATACAGCCATAGTGAAGCTTCCTACACCACTGCAGAAGGCGGTGCTTCCCAAACATTGCATCGAAAAACTACCTCGTCCAAGTGCGCAGTGTCCTCCACTGACCGCCTGGCAGACAATCTCGACCGTTAACGACGTCGCTACTGCCGCGCCGAATGAAGGCCACACTGCTCAACCAAATGCCATAGGTCATTCTATCATTGCCTTTCGCCTCTTCGTCTCCTCTCGTATTGAGCGACTGAGGCGATTGTAACTCAGGGGCGATTGCCTCGCCTTTTTCGAGACGGTGCACAATGGTTCGAGAGGTTCGGGAGGGACATAGGCTTCTATCGCTGAAAGCCATTAATCAGCTCTGGGGGTTTCCCGATGGGAACTTCCCATCGGGAAACCCATTGGGAAGAGAGAACAAGCGCCATTCTACTCGTCAAGATCTAAGCCTGAGATATTACGGTTTCTTTGTCAAAAGCGGTTGCTGGTACAGACTGACTCGTGCATGGTGTGAACACTCATCACCGATAGTGCAACTTAACGGTTTTTCTATCGAAAACTACTTGGGGAAAGGTCAGATCTGCCATAGTCGTGCCATTTCGACGGCTAGATGGTATCTTGCGCATGTTATGGGCGATAGCCAGGGCATGTAGTGAACAGCCTTCGAGAGAGCATGTAGTGAACAGCCTTCGAGAGAGCGTCTCAACCGAAGTCACTGACCCATCCTCCCCATTTTGTTCATGACAGAAGATTTTACGATTTTTGTATCAAAAGTATCCGTGGGGACAGATTGGAGTGACTGGAATCCATCAGGGCCCCAACTGCAAGTGTCCCGGAAATGAGCCAAACTCCTTGCAAGAACGCTCCTCGTGATGTGCAAGCCGCCAACGAGACACCACCCGTGCCAGAAGTCTACGATTGGAGCACGTGGGATTGGTACGCGACGGACGATTATGGTCCGGAATACCGGAGTTTTTCCCCCGTGTCGGCATCTTCTCCGGCGAGAAAGGAGAGGCTGAAGGATAATTCAATAGGCAAAGTCGGGGAGGATGCAGTAGATGGGACTAGCTACTGTGGCACATCTTGACCAGCTCAGAACGACTCGTTCTGAACGAGGCCTGTGATATTCCAAGGTGTTTTTCAACACCATTTTAGGCTTACCACATCCCCGACAACTACAAGTACTGTAGTACAGTACAGAGCCTGTACTACAGACTGTACTGTAAAGTGACTATACCAGCGAATTCCCGTCTTGTCATGTTTTTCGACATGGTTCTGCAATGCTGTTGGACTCCTGAGGAGTCACTCCTCCTTTGCTTTGACTTTGCTGCCTTGTTATAGCGAGCTCGGTCTTATGGACAGGCTGCCCAGGACAGCTGCCCCACGGCGTGCCTGACATCGAGAAGACTACATTTGTGTTTCTACATTCAACCGGGCTACAGATAGTTGAGCAAACAGATTCAGTAGAGCAATTGGCGAAGAGATTCTTTGGCTTGACAAAGGATACCATGTGTATTCGAACTAGATTAGAAGACTATAAGGTACAATACAATTCCACAAGGAGCCACACAAGTGGTTCAATGTTAATCCCTTCGCACTGCCAAGGGAGTGGAATCAGACCTAGGAAGACCTAGCAAGTGTGAATACTCATCAACGGTGGTGCAA